GAGAACATGGTAACTACAGTAATTATCAAAGTGGGAAGTGATGTCCTCAGTAACTAGCCGAGTAGACAGATATGAATGTTTATTCATCATAACCATACTGAAAATAAGTAAATATTCTTAGCTGATGCTAACTGTCTAGCTAACAAGCTTGCTGGTGCTAAGTTGAGGTAATTTTTAGATATAAAGTACAAATATTTTTATTCAACCACCTTGATAGATTACATCTGGGGGAAAAGAAAGGATGTGATGTTCAGAACATGGTAACTACAGTAATTATCAAAGTGGGAAGTGATGTCCTCAGTACTGTGTACATTTTAGGACATCCTCAGACCTCAGTCATTAAATGAAAAGGCGTCATGCCTCAGAATAAAAGGCTTCAGTCATTGGACAAGACGGCATCGTGCCTCAGACTGAAAAGCTTCAGGTCTCAGGAAAAACGACGTCAGGTGTCAGGTCTCATACAATTAGGCATCAGACGAAACGAACTCAGACAAAAAGGCATCAGACGAAACGGACTCAGACAAAAAGGCATCAGACGAAACGGACTCAGGTGGAGTGTCGTGTTGCCCCGCCCCATGTGACGTCACACGCACACGGTTCAGAGGATGTGGTATGAAACGGTTGATGGATGGCAAAAGGAGGTAAGCCGCATCTGATATATTATATTTTAACAGTTTTATTTAAATTTTACACTAATTAAGTTATATACAGAAGAGAACATGCAATTCGAGAGTCTTGTGTGCACGTTTAAAAAGTTAGTTAGCCATATTGCAACTAGCCAGCTTTTCTGTTGGCAAACTATAGTAAAATTAAAACAAATTCTTTCGAGCTATTAACAGTTAGACTGCTTGATTAAAATGTGATTGTATTATTTAAACATTTTTAAAATAATACAATTATTCAATTAATCAGCTACCTCGCCCTAGGCCAATCAAAGCTAGTAATATGGGCCGGAAAATAAGTAATTATTTTATGTCATTGTAGATAATAGAAGTTTTTTTTATATATGTACATACATCTAAAACAGGGATGGGCAACTGGCGGCCCGCAATTTCTTTAAATATCTTAATGTAAATTACACACCTGCTCACAAAGAGAAGTATGAAAGATACACCAGTGACGCCTGAGTTGCACTTGTATTAGTTTTACTAGTATAAAACTGGTTAATTTTCATAAGGGGTCGTCAACAAAACTTTTTTGCCAAATGCATACATGTTCTTTAATATATTTTTATGTATGGTAATATGTGGGATTATTGTAATACCATTTCTAATAACTATTTTATGAATAAGCCATTTTTAACTGTTCTCTGAGGTTGTGTTGAGAATGTTCTGTTGGCTAGTAATCTAAAATATGACCTCTTTACATTTGTTTGTTACAAATTTAAATAATAAATACCTAATAATAAAACCCTTAAAAACTAATTGCATACATTGATTTCCCTTAATAAAAAGGAAATTGAGTAGTACTAGCGACGGCCCTGACCTTGCCCCTTGGTATGAAGGAGAAAAAATGCTGGTCCTTGTCACTCTTGAAGTTGCCCATCCCTGATCTAAAAGATCCTTGAAAATATCCCCACTCCCCACTTCCCCCAAACTACAGACAGCTCAGTGAATCTCAAAAATGTCCACCACTGGTAATATGCTAACATCATTATTGTATTATAACGACTTTCAGAACAGAAATATGGAAAAGTTGAAGATGTACGAAACTCTCAGACAACAACTGGATAATGGTATGTAATGGGCTTTCTGTTGTATTAATGAAATTATATTAGATACAGTGTATCACCACATATACATGGTTAGGAAACTTCTGCTAGTTTTATTCACTTCTGCTTTGCCTGATTTGTAGATGAGATTACTCAAAAGGGCTTTGATGCCAGAGTAAAGGATTTATTGCTTGAACGTGGTGCAGAAGGAACATCAGGTATTCCGTTTTTTATATTTACAGATTGGCAAGACTTATATTCATTTGATTAATTTTCTTCTATATACTTTGTTTTTCTCTTTAACATTCTAGAGACCAGCAAAACAAAAAATCCGAAGACATTCATGGGTAAGACAACAAAAATGTACAGTGTCCTACAGAAATGTTGTCACCCTTTGTAAATATGTGCAAAGTGGGCCTAGTCTTCAACTTTTAAAGAGGCCATGGCATGCCTTTTCATCATTCTGAATTTAACATTTAAAACCTGTGGGATGACCTGATGAGGAGAGTCCATTAGCATAGACCTCTGAATCTGAAGACTGGAGGAATAGTCTCAGATACCTTGTCATGCATTCGTCATTATGCATAGCAGAAGATTCATAGCTGTTACTTTGGGGAAAAAAGGGAGATTTAAATATTATAGACAGAAATATATTTGGTTAAGAAATAATTGTTAGAAAACTTGATAATTATTAATAGATACTTCTGATCTTGGGGGATTATTTTGAATAAAAGACCAAGATGATAAAACACACATTTTTCTATACCCTGGTAAAAAAAAAAGTAAGTTGAAAGTCAGTTCAACTGTCATTATAAAAGAGTTGTTTTGTTTGCTTCGTTGCCAGTTCTTTCATTTCAAAATGATTGTTTAATGGAAATCTTATGTCTGTATTACAGATACAGCACAAGTTTTTACCAAGGCAAAACAATTAATAAAACCACAAGTGAAGAAATGCCAGTTTCCCCTTCGTCAAAAAGGAAAACCCCTTTTAAAGGTTAGCAATAAGGTTGGGGCAATTATTAAGTCGACTTGAAATTCGACTTAATAATTGCTTTAAATAGTTAAACTGACTGAACTACTGCTTAGACGTTTTATTATTATTATTAGTTAGCTTTCTCAAGCCAAATTACTGAAATGCTATATAAAATAATTATTATTCTTTTGCTGAGACTAACATTTCTGACTCTAACTAGTCCAAGGCCTTTCAAGCACCAAACTTGGGTCAGACCTGCACAAATCTAAACACTAATAATCTATCTATCTATCTATCTATCTATCTATCTATCTATCTATCTATCTATCTATCTATCTATCTATCTATCTATCTATCTATCTATCTATCTATCGTTTGTCTGTCTGTCCATCCATCCAAAATTACATTACAATAGCTTCCATAACTACTGAACTAAAACTTAAAACTATTGTAAACTTAAAATTAAAAGTATGTCAAAATTTACTTTGATTTGTATTTAACATGGAAAATGTAACATGATTGAACAACACTTGGACCAACTTGTTCCAAGATAAAAATGGCTCCCATGGAGTGGAAACCAAGAACTGCTAAAAAACCAGGAAGATATCAAAAAATCATCCTTGAAGAGGCCCCACCACGGATAATTGTCACAGGCACTGAGGGGTATGATGAGCTCCTAAAACTTGGCCAGGAGACATTTTGGTCAGACGAGAGAGAGGGGAGTGTGTTTACTCTCTGCCAAGCAGATGGGACGAGGTGGACGAAGGAACAGTTCCATCAGGAATTTGGATCAGTGTCAGAGATCCCAAACGTCTGGAAGCGAACATTTTACATTGAGAAATGGGTATTGTAATGTTGAAATTACATGGCATGTGTGTGTTATAAACTTGCTCTTGTGCTAATACAGTACCAATTGCATGTTGTATCTACAGATGTCATTTGCCTTGATGAAAGCAGCTCATTATCACGTATGTACCATAAGTTTTGATAGCACATTTTAAGCCCCATGTATGTTTTGTAAT